CTAAGATTTTAACAGGAGAAATCTGAACATCCAAATGACTTGCTAGCAGCAAGTAGGGGTTCCACAGATGGGGGTGGGGTGGGAGGACTGGCAGGAGGGGGTCACACACAGAGGTGGCTTGCAGCTCACAGGTATGAACACAGCAGGCTTGCAGCTCACGGGCACACAGCAGGTCGCTTGGCAGGGATTGGATACGCAACAGGCTGGGCTGCAGGAGGAGATCAGACCATAGATCACGAGGCCACAGGAGGACTGGGAGTCACTAGAAGAGCAGCTGACAGCCCCACAGGGTGACGGGCAGGAGGTGGCCATGCCACACACAGGTCGGCACAGCAGAGTCACGTAGGAGACTGGGCGGCAGCAGGCAGACTAGCAGCCGAAGGAGCAGCTGGTGTTGCACATGGTGGATGTGTGGTTGGAATGGCTGTCAGGGAAAAGGTGGGGGCTGGTGTGGAGGCCCCTGCTGGATACCCTTTCTATCATGGTCCTGTGAGCATCTAAGCAACACAGAGCCCCACCTATTGTTTTCCTTATTTTTGCTTTCACAACCTTATTTTCCTGTTTTGTTATTTTTGTTTGGCCCTAAGCTTCAGGACTAATTACAGCTTCTTCCCGCTTTTATTTTACTTGGAACATGCCTATCTGTTTTATTGGCTCCATCTAGATTCAGCCTCATTCCTTAACATTTCACCTGAATTATTTTATGTGACTCCAAACCTTGGCTGTCCAGATTTTCATCTCAGTGTGGCAATGATCTTCCAATACCTGCAAAGTGTACACTCCTCCCATGTGCCCAGCAGAATGCACAGGAGGTGTGAGGGAGAACAAAGGTGGGCTCTCAGACACCTTTGCAAGGCTAGGGAGATTGGGAGAATTGAAGAGTCTGGGTCATGGGGAACTTTCTGGGAGTGGAGAACTAAGATGAGTAAAAGTAGTGGAATCACATGACTCTCCCGTGGTGAGGCACCAGGCAGAAGCGAAGTGAAGTCTTCCTCCTTACCTTCTCCATAGTCTCTTCACACATCAGTCACAGCCTTTTGTTTTTTGGTGTGTAAAGTGGGCCATTAAGGAGCTCTGGTAGCATAGTGCCTACGAATCGGGCTGCTAACTTCAAGGTCGGCAGTTCGAAACTAACAGCTGTTCCACAGGAGAAAGATTTGCTCCTGTAAAGATTTACAGCCTCGGAAACCCTGTGCAGGGTCGCTATGAGTTGGGACCGACTTCATGGTACTTAACAACAACAACAACAACAAAGTGGGCCATTTGTTGGGGCAACACTATTTTGTCCTCTGAGGCTGAGTTCATGTGTGGGCCACCCTGTGCCTGTTGGGAACGATAGAGAAGAACTCCCTCAAGAAAGCCATGACAAGTCAGGTAGCTCCTAATTAAATCTACTCCAAGGGTGCTTCTAGCATGTACCCAGAGCGGCCCAGTGGGGCAGGACTCTATCTCATCTCTGCCCCCTATTGCCCTTTCTGTCCTTGCCCCTTTAGAAAGCATGGTGAATCTGAATCTACATTTTAACAAACATCTCAGGTCTTTCTTATGTAGTGGGGACCTATAAGAATCACCTGGGAATCTTGTTAAAAAAAAATCTAGATTCTGATTCAATATATCTCAGGTGGAAATGCAAAGTCTCAGCAGAGGGTCGAACCAGAATGAATCAGTTGGAAGATTGTTAACAGATGCAACAATGGGCTCAAACATATCAAAGATCATGATAATGGTTCAGGATGGGGCCATATTTTATTCTGTTACACATAAGGTTAGAGCAATGACAACTGACTTGATGGCAATTAACAACAACAACAACATTCTTTTATATGGGGTTAGTCACAAAACTGATCACTCTTCTATTGCTGATGATTACTTTGGTTCTCAGAAGCTAAAACTGTGGTCAGAACTTGGACTCTGAGCTGATATGAGGCCACAAAGTGGGAGAAACCTTAATGGTCAGTGGAAAAATCATATGAGTTCATGAGCTCAGCCCTTTTATACTTTTCTCATTCAGCACTGACAATACTCTGAGGGTTAATGCGCTGGACTGCAAAGTTGGTTTGAACCACAAGGTTGGAAGTTCAAACTCAGTCGCTCCTCAGAAACCCTATAAAGGGTCACTATGAATTGGAACTGACTCATCAGCACTTAACAACAACAACATAGGCTTTTGGAGGCTGTAAATCTTTACTGGAGCAAAAAAGTCTCTTCTTTCTCCCACGAAGCAGCTGATGGATTCGTACTGCTGACCTTGTGGTTAGTAGACAAAGCCACTATACTACCAGGCTCCTTTTAACTAGGTTATGTTGCTGTTGTTAATCACTGTCGAGTTGGTTCTGACTCATAGTGACCCTGTATAGAGTTTCTGAGGAGCAGCTGGTGAGTTTGAACCACCAACCTTGTGGCCCAGTGTTTATCCTACAGTGCCACGCCAGGAAACCCTATGTTGTTGTTAAATGCTGTCGAGTTGGTTCTGACTCATAGCGACCCTTTATAGGGTTTCTGAGGAGCGACTGGTGAGCTTGAACCACTGACCTTGTGTTTCAAACTGATTTTGCAGTGCAGTGCATTAACCCATAGCACCACATTTCTGCCTTTAAGTCGTCATTTGCCAACTTCAACATCTAGACCATTGCAGATGATTTTTCTAGAGCAGGGGTGGGGAACCTCTTTCTGCCAAAATTTATAACATCATTCACAGGTCATATAAAATTATCAACTTAAAAATTAGGCTGCTATATTTAGTCAAATTTAATTCACTCATCCTTAATGTGATGGCTAGAACTGTGGTTTTCCTTGGCAGGTCCAGACCAAATAATTTTGTGGGTGTTATGTGGCCTGCGGGCTGGATTTCCCCACCACCGTTCTAGAAGTTCCTTTCTATTTTCTCTTGAATATGGGCTTCATTTTCCTATACAGGTAGTTTCTGACTTATGATGGGGTTCTATTTTGACAACTACATAGTAAGTCAGTTCTGACGTAAACTGAATCTCTGTCTCTCTTTTTTTTTTCTCCTTTTTAGCTATTATTATTATTGCCTTATATTATCAGTAAATTTATAAATCTGATGTCTTTATTTTTCTTTGAGGGTTTAAAACATTACAAATAAACTTACAGATATATTTTAATGCATACATACATACATAAAAATACAAATCACATATAAAATGAATAGTCATAAGTGCAGTTTGTCACAGTTTGAATACATTGTAAGTTGGGGGACTACCTGTATCTTTGTATGTCAAGTGATTTTTTATTGTATATTTGACATTGCGAATAACACATTTTAGGGAACTACTGATTTTTCTCCTAGCTGACTTAAGTTCTGACTTTGTTAGGGTACATCTGTGAAATGTTCAAGGTGTTTCCTAAGCTCTATAACTTGATGGGACTCAACTGCCAAAATGTCTTGCCTTATGATTTTGTTATAGATTAGTTTAGGCTTTCCCAGGGCATTCTGTCGAGTCTCTGAGTGGTGAAAATGGTTAACACACTTTGCTGGTAACACACTTGGTTAACATACTTAGTTGAAAGATTGGCGGTTTAAGTCTATCTAGAAGTATCTTGGAAAAAAGGCTTGTTGATCTTGTAATAAAGGCCTGAAGAATCAGCCACTGAAACCCCATGTAGCACAGTTTACTCTGATACACCCGAGGTCACCATTAGGGCATTCTGTAGTAGGTTTTAGTCTAGGGTGTGCTTCTTATCCCTAACATACAGTGTATGCAATCTTAGTTGGATGCCAGAGGAGATCCACAAATTTGTAGCAACTTCTCTTTGATAACCCTCCAATAATTTTGCTTTGAGAATATACAATCCTGCCTCCTTCCATATATTCACAGGGAACCTTCATATAGACTTATGGGGTCAGCAGTATATATAGATCCCTCTTTCTGGGGCCCCAATTCTCAGGTTCCAAGGGCTTCAACTGCCCCCCAAATGACCTGTTCCTCCAGCATGGTAGGGACATTGTGTTCTGCTCAGACTCTGGCTCTCTGCATTGCGTTTGGGAAGTTGAGCCCAGACAGAGAGCTGGGTGAATGTATAAATCACCTGGCAAAATTTCCCTTCTTTCAGGAAGCACAGATTTCTGCTGTTTGTTTGTCCACTGCCTCAAAACATGTGCTGCATATTTTTTTTCAGTTATACATTTGACTGGAGGGCTAGTCTGATACTGGTCATTGTATCAATTTATATCAAAGCTGCATAGTCATCTGTATCTAACTCTTGTGCTTCTTGTTCTCGCCAGCCCCTCCAGGAGGGGGCTGGGCACCACTTGGCCTAGGGTGCTTGTATACTTTCTTGCTCATATAGTTGGCCTAAACCTGTCTCTATCTTTAGTAGAACCATGCCTCCATCCAGGCTGTTCTGGTGATTTTTTTTTTAATCTTAACTGTCTAATTATGAAACTTTCTCAAGACAAAGATCCAGTGTCAAAACCATAAGAAGTTCTCCATGACCCACATCCTTCAATTCTCACTTATCTTAAGGACAAATAGTCTCGCTAACATTTTCCATGTGTCTGCCAGTTCTCCATCTCTAGCTCTAGTAAACACAAAGATGACTGAGCCAGCCACAGTTCTTCTTCCTGTCTACTGTGGACCATTCCTGGTCCATAGGAGAAGTGCACAATTTGTGATTATTTAACAATCAGTGTAACCTCCTAGAAGAAAATCTGGAGATTCAACATTTTGGGATTATGTAAAAGTAACAGAGGTGCAATGTTAAGGAATGAGGCAGAATCCAAACAGAGCCAACATGTGGGTGGATATTTAAGTGAAACAGGAATGTGAAGATGTATTAGTCATATAGCAGATGCCAAAATAGAATAGAAGGAGGTTCAGGGAGACAGCCTGGAGGAAGCATAAACAAGGAAAGCGATAGTTGTGCTTGTGTGTTGCGTGGATGCCTGTGTGCCAGGACTATAAAGGCCATTCAGCAGAAGTGGACAGCAGACCTGCCCCCACCTCCTTTCTGAAACCAGCTCCAGCCACACATCCACCATGTGCCACACCTGCTGCTCCTCAGGCTGCCAGTCGGCCAGCTGCTCACCCCTGTGCTGTGTCCCCACCACCAGCTGCTCACCCTCGTGCTCCATGAGCTCGAGCTGCAGCCCACCATCCTCCTGTATGACCCTGCTGTGTCAGCCCATGTCCAGCCAGTCACCCTGTGGGGCTGCCAGCTGCTCTTCTGGTGGCTCCCAGTGTCTGTGCTGCCCCTCCTCATGCAGCTTGGCTTGCTGTGTGCCCAGCTCCTGCCAGGCAGCCAGCTGTGTGCCTGTGAGTTGCAAGCCCGCTGTGTGTGTGCCCGTGAGTTGCAAGCCTGCTGTGTGTGTGCCCGTGAGCTGCAAACCTGCTGTGTGTGTTCCCGTCAGCTGTAAGCCAGTTGTGTGTATGCCCATGAGCTGCCAGCCCACTATGTGTGTGGCCCCCTCCTGCCAGTCTTCTGACAGCTGCCAGCCCTCCTGCTCCACCCTTCTCTGCAAACCCATCACCTGTGGCAGCCCTGCCTGCTGCTGAACACATGTCTCCACACTAGCCACTTGTTGTGCAAATGGGTCCATTCCTGAAAGCGTCTTAGAAGAAATCACAGTTTTCCTCCAGGTGATATGCATTGGATTGTTGGAAAATATGCTCATTGAGCCCCAGAATTCTCAGGAGGGAATGTGGCAGAATCATCTGGATTTCTCTCTGCACATAGTCTCTGGGAAAATCCTGTCTCCCAGTGCCCTTCTCTGCCTCTAGTGGGAAACCACATCAATCCAATAAATTGTGCTTTCCCTGTCCAGCTCAATGTTTATTGTCTTTCTTTACTATTTGCATATTTTTGCAATTTGTGTGGTGATGTAGGATAAGCATTGGACTGTAAGGTCAGTTTGAACCACAAGGTTGTTGGTTCAAAATTACCAGCCGCTCCTTGGAAACCCTACGTAGGGTGGCTATGAGTTGGAACCGACTCGATGGCACTTAATACCACCAACATTCTTGTTATGAACACATTTTTAAAAAATGTTTTTGTGAATTATGTGATAGTTTACATGGGAGAACATTAGCTTTAGATTTATCCTATTGTATATTATTTCATTGCCATGATTGCAGTCCCCTCCATACATCATTAAACAACCAAAGAGTACCCCCCTCAAGCCTGCCCTTGGTCATCAGCACACAGCCCCTCTCCCTTTCTGGGTCTAGTGTCCCCAGCTGCTCCATCTCTCCATGTCATCATCTTTGCCTCCATCTCTGGTGTCAAGCTTCTCTGGGTAGGGTCCCTCACTCCTCTCTTCTTCCCTTGGTGGTCCCAGGAACCTCCGCCCCTGGACTGCAAGTCAACCACTCCCATCCTTTTACTACAAAACATATACCTTTACATTTTCAACCCTCACAGTCAGTCCTGATAGCAATTATTCACTATTGTACCACAAGAATCTTATCCCCATCTCCTTTCATTAGCCCTGTCCAGACAGACAGGATACCACTCAGTGAAGAGTCTATCCTTCCCCCATGTCTTCTGGATCTAAGCTCCCTCTTGAAAGCTTGTAAGTCAGTCACTTCTTGCTTTTGTAATGCCTCCCCCCCACCCCTTTTTGGGTAGCCAATATCTAAGTTGTCCATCCCTGTCTACCCTGTGTACCAAGGGGGTGGGAATGATCCTTGCTGTAAAGATTTGTTCCCTCTTTTGGCTACTTGTATCAAATTACTCTTTTTCTCTTCTTTCTTCTTCTAGTAAAGTTCTGATCATCCAGCCATTGAAGCCAGGTCAAGTGGGTATTATCTACAGTTGTCGGTGTTCTTGTGAATCTCCCCTCACTTCTTATCAGCTGGATGCTTCACTTTCCACTCTAGTTCTCTGTGGCTATGTTACTGACTCTGGGGCCAGGAGTCCCCAGTCTTGCCATACTGCTGGCCAACCAGGTCTCCACCCAGGTTCACAGGAGTCTGTTGAACATGGTCGGACTTAGCTCACAGCTTTATTGCTATTTTTCCTCACTTCCCCTTATTGGTGACCAACGTGGTCATCAGTCAGCTCACATGCCTGCTCGTGTATTCCCCTTGAGTCTTAGTCTTGGAAAGGAGTTTGCCCTGAGGGGACCCGACCACTTGCCTTGATGGCTCCAGGGTGAGCAACTTGCTTATTCTTGGAGTAGTCATTCAGACTGCTGTTACTGTGTTTGATTTCTCCTGCCCATCTTTCTTTCAAGAAGTATCTTCTGTTCTAGTCACTCGGGCTGGTCTGCTAGTCCTTTCAAGTGGAAATTTCCCACCTCAGAAGATTCTGGATGGGGTTCAGGATTCTACCTATGGTCTTATGTAATGCAGAGACGTCACAGGAAGCCTCCTTCACTGGGCATGTTTTAGCCATATTTTAGGTATTCCAATTAGTTATAGGTTGAAGACGGACTTACAAGCTTTCTATGGTGATATTTCTGGGGTTTCCTTTCTCTCCCCCTCAAGTGTCTAATTTACAATGATATGCCAGGGAAACCAAGATTCAAAAGACAGCCAAGCATCTTAACATTGTTCCCCCCCCCCCTTTTGCCCATTCCAACTATGTCTTAATCCCTGTATCCTAGAGTCCTGTTGTCCCAAGGTTGTGCATACATCATTATTTACCTCTGTCCCACTTAGCCCATGCAAACCTGCCTAACTGTTCTCCTGTCTGCCTTGTTTTACTATTCCCCTCACCCTTCTTGTATATTGCCCCCCTCCCCAGCACCCAAACTATCCTGTGTCTATTGCCTGCCCTGTGTTCCACCTTCCCCTCCCTCCCCTCACCCCACCCCACACATCTCGGTAACCAGCAACAAATACCCCACCACCACTTTAGTATGGGTTCTTTTTCTTAGTCTTTTACAATACTGTTCCTACACAGTATTTCTTCTTTTGTGATTGACTAATTTCACTCAACATAATGTTCTCAAGGTTCATCCATGTTATGTGATAGCTTATAGCTTCCTTGTTGTTCTTCAAGGTAGCATAATATTCCATTGTATATATGTACCACAGTTTGTTTATCCATTCTTCAGTTGATGGGCACTTAGGCT